TATTTATTTTGTTTTTCAATCTCATACTCTGTTATATATCTTATTTTAACAATTTTTTCAGTATGTCTTTCAATAAAATATTTTGTTGGATTGAGTTTTGAAGTGTGAAACAACAAACATGTTCGGAGACATTTTTAGTTTTACACCTATCGAGAGAAAACTCTAGAAAGAGGATCCATAAAGTGGTGGATTATTAGAATAAGTGTATTGAGTTAAGGAGTTTGTACGTAACTTTTTTTACTAACAAACTGTTTTTTTGTAGAATGTAATGCAAAATAAGTAAGTTAAACTGTTTCTTAATTTTTGTTCCGCGAACTTCTTGACCAACTTCATAGACTGCCTGTTGATTTTCAAAATTCTTTAGTGAATTGTAGGAAACCAATACAAAAAGTAACAATCTCTTCGCTTTTATTTTAATAATGAGAGACGGAAGACTTCTTTAGAACTGATCGGTTATCTATCACTTAATTGTGAATTTGGATTTAAGTTGAATTAGTTTTTTTCCTGTTAAGATTTAAGCGTGAACTACGCATTTTGCATGGCTTGAAGTGATCATCGATTGATATAAAATGGCACCTCTTCTAAACTTAAAATAACTGTTCTATGATATGTAATTTAAGAAATGAAATTTATCTCAACCAACAAAAGTTTAGATAATAATATTTTATACTATACTATAAGGCTTAGATTTGTTATAATGATTAATACTAAATAATATTGCTTGAAGAAATTTGAAGCAGTTAGAACATTTTAGTTACATTATTTTTTTACTAGACTTACGAAGTATTTCGCTCATTTATAAATATCATAGATAGATAAAATTAATATCAGCTTGTGAAAGTACTCGTAATCACATATTACATTATGTATTTACTAAAATTGGGTGGGCTCTTAATAAAATTGCCTTCCTTACTGCGACCAATGAAATATTTCATAAAACGTTTTAATTAGAAATTATTATATTTTTATTGGTGGAGTAACAAATTCACTCAGTGCTTTTATCTAAGGTTTGTACTATTGTTTTATCTAAATGACTAATTGCCGTATAGTCAGGCTTATCGGAAGTAACCAGCCTGCATTCACAACAGACAGTTTCCAGTCCAAGCAGTTCAAAGTGAGGTTCTGAAGTGCTTATCCATGTAATTACTTTTACATTCAGTAAAATGTTTTTGTCATCAGTAATTTTTATGTTTTTGAATTAATTTTTGAACTTACATTGAAATTTAAAGAGTTTTTCAGTGTTTTTATTAAAAAATATTTATTACATTTTAAGTATCTGTAATGGTAAAAAGAAAATAATGTCAAGGTTTCAAAGTAATTAAATTTTAATTAAAATAAAGTCGATACGATAGAGATACTTTCATTGTTTAAATTTATATCTTAGTAAGATATTGTTTACTGACAAAGAGTAAACCTGGAAGATCAGTTAAGTGAGAAAAACTGTTTTATCTTATTAAGGTTATGTCAAGTCAAAGCTTACAGATCCTTTATTTGTTTTTCATATTAATAAGTAAACTTAGTAAAAACAACAAAAATAACTTGAATTTAATTTTTATATCACACTTTTTCTTTAATAAAGGCAAGAACGTGAACCATGCGGCTAGAGATGCGTATATTATTTATGGTCCCGATACTGAAACAGCCAATCATACGCAATTTGGTTTGTCGAACTTCAAATGACAAGGATGCACCACGCTCTGGAAGACCAGTTGTGAAAAATGTCGATAAAAGATTGGAAATTGTAGAGTCCGACCTGCTATTGTCATGTAAGTACTATATCGATCATCCAAGAGCTAAACATTACACAAAAAAGCATTGCACGTTTGGAACCATTAAAATAAGGCTGGATACAAAAAGAACCGGTCATATACGAGTGTCACATAAGTTGACGCAAAAAAGCCTCATGATCCCCATTTCCATATACCAGTCGCAACTGAATCGTTAGCTCATTTTTTGCCAAAATTCGTCCGGTTTGTAAAAGGATGACCCATATATTTAATAAGTTTTGAAAATAGTATTTTGCTATATGTACAGAACTATATACATTATATTAACGCAATTCTGCTGATATTGAATTTAGATCTGCTTTAAGTCTTGCATTTAGTTTGTTGTATATTGAGATGGTTTAGTGTATATTAATTTACTTTAGCTTTAGATTGAATTTTTACCGTTCATTTTTTACAAATGGTTCCCAACAAATGTAGTCATTAAGCGTAGTATCAAATTATTCTGCTTCATGCTACATACATGTGGAATATTTTTCTCATGAATTTTATATTGGTAAGCTAATTTACATTAGCGTAATTATTATATAGTATTACGTCTATAATATTACTGGATTAATTGTAGATTCCCTTTCACTTATTGACGATTTTATTACTCGGTCATTAACGACTAACATATTACGACTATCAATGGAAACGTAGATAAAGTAATAAGTATCCTTATTATTAACAGTTTATTGAAAACGAGAAAATCAGGTTGTATAAGAATCATCCTTTGTGGATTAGTTAAAAACTCATACAAATACTTTCTTCTCAAAAAGTTTCTTTAACTATATTAAGATAGGCTCCTTAAAACTGAACCATTGTATGTTCTACCTATTCCATGGTCGTCCCGGCTTCAGCTCTAGTGTTAGCTTAATTTAACGAGCTCCCTAACATTAGATGTTGTCAACATTAGATGTTGAAATGAACAAACTTTATTATCATTATTAATAAACACAAAAATATTTTCAGCATAGCGGATATTTTAATGGTGTTTTGGTCTTAGCACATCTATTACAGTTTCAGTTTCTTCAAATTATTTGATAGTTCTGCTCATAGTTTGTTTAGATGGATTATTATGTTGTTCATGTCTTCTCGTAATGCGCGATATATATCTACTATAGTATCATTGCTTTTATATATATAATATAAAATATAATGTATAAATATATAATACCATATATATAAGATATATTTTATGTAGTAAGATTTTAAGAGCTCAGATAATAATGGCATTTTATGAAATGGCAAAGATAGAAATTCTTAACTGACAATTTCATTAGATAAATGTCACTGAAAGATCGCTGCTAAATCAATATCACGAAGGAAATAACTGTTAGGTTAGTACATATTAAAATGTTGCGTTTATGTCAGATCCAAACACTCTGCATATAGACAACGTTGATAAGAACAGGCATGACTCCCCTATTTAAGTAAAAGTGAACCAAATTGGCAAGTCAATTGGATGGCGGTGTTCTTTGTTAGATACCATTCGAAAGTACCAGAAATAGGAATCATCCTTAGCTTTTTTGAGAGGCTTTAGCCTGACGATTTAGATAGTAAGACTAAATCGTTAGTCTAACTGAAAACCACTGTAAACATATATTGCTTTATTAGATTTTCTGCAAGGGTCAACATCTGCGCTATCTTGAAGGTATCTAAAACAGTTTTTCTTTCTACTCGTTTCAGCAGATTTTCGCGCTCTTTGGACCTTTTTGGCCTGCTGATTTAGATATTATGACTAAATTGTAAGTCTAACTGGAAAAGGTTTTAAACATACAATGCTTTGTTGGATTTTCCGCAACAATCAACATCTCAGAAGTTCCTGAAACAGTTATCCTTTCTTTTCTTTATCAGTGCATCGAACAAGCAAAAACCGAAAACTGAAAAAAAAGATATTTTTCCTAAAACGAAAACGATATAATTTTTGTTGTCCTCAACCAGAAGGGAAATCGGGACGGAAAAAATTCCGATTCGATGCTCTGTTTTTTATAACCGATTTTTAATGTTTTTTGAACGCCTCAGTGTGACGATTTAAATATTACGACTAAATCGTAAGTGTAAATAGAAAACACTTAAAATACTTACCACTTTCTTAGAGTTTTTGTAAGGGTCAAGAACTACGGTTCTAGTTTATTCAGCGGTTTTTGGGACTCCTTGTATGCATCAGTTAGGTTGTTTGGAAAACGCTTGAAATACATAACACTTTCTTATAGATTCAGATTCTTTGCAAGGGTCAATATCTATACTATTAGGGAGATACGAGATGCAGGAATCCTTTTTAGTTTTTTTCGGTACTTCCTGAACGCTTTAGATAGCCCATTATGACTAAAACGTCGGGCTAAGTGGAAAACATTTGAGCACATAGCACATATGACTATGACGTGATTGGTAAGTATCATATGATATGAGAATATTTTAATATATTTACACACTTAATCATTATAGAACAATTTGCGAGCGTAATTGAAAATATTGATTACTTTATCTTTATCAGCTCTTCAAAATATTGGCTTATCAAGATTTATAATTAATGAAACACTCGTATTTGTGAAAGTGGCCAAAAATAAAATCGATTGTAAGGTCAGATTTTAAAAATAAATTGTATCGCATCAACTCCGAGTGGGACCCTTCCGCCTTCTTGTTGTTTCTGTCAAATGCAAACGGTAAACGGTAAACGGTAAACGGTAAACGGCAAACGGCAAACGGTACACGGCAAATAAAAATTCAATTAAAGAAACGCATTAAATGTAATATTAAATTTATTCATTAACTGATATGAGTTATATAGTTTAACTAATACAGGTAAGCAACTGTGCATGTGTGTGTGAATTTCCAATTTTGGAGCAGTAAAAGTAAAATAAATTACTCTGATTGCTGACGTATACAAGTGATTTTGCCTCAAATTCCGCCAGGGGCGATCATAAATTATATTAATAATTTTATATGAAGTTTCCAGATTGACATATTAACAAATTAATTACTTTTACTGGCATTTGTTAAAAGCATAAATTATTTATTTCAATTATAAACCATAAATATGATTTTATTATTTGTTGTTTATTTATATATAATTCTTTATCAGTTTACACTGCACAGTCAACTCATATAGTCAGTCCATTGTGAGTCATTTATAAACAATAGAAGTATCTTCATCATTTTGTATGAGAGACTTCAATAAAAATATTAATTATTTAGTTAAGTACTTTTCAATGGAAATTTTAATTACTCGTAATTAGATTGTTTTTAACAGTTGAATAAATTTAATTAAACGCCCTATTTATTAGCGACTAAATGCCCATAATGCAATAATGAGCGTTGAGATGAGATATAGTTTTATTTCGCCCTGGCTTGATGCCGCATTCCAAATTGTATCTATATCACTTTCGGTCTCATCGGTTATATGTTTGTTACAACCATTAATATTGCAAATGTTGCAATCCTCCAGAGTTGCTATTCTATCACCAAGTACTGCATTACATGTCATACTTTTATCGCCATCCACTAGAGGAGTACAGCCGCGCTTCGTAATTAAAGTATCATTAACTAAAAATTAAAAGAGAATATTAAAATTTTTACTTTAATTGAATTATTAACTTATTATTAGACATAATGTTTATTAAAACATTTATTTATTAATATCTGTTATAAAAAGTATTAAACAAATTTAACTCATGAACATATTTTCAAACTTAAATTACTGGGTTAGGATAAGTTAGGTTATATTGGTGAACCAATATAATGCAATAGTCCTATGGGCTATTAGGATGGAATACAATTATCTCCAAATTGATTAATAACTATAGAATTATTATAATACATTTCAAGATCTCATTGCTTTGCAATTTAAATTTAGTTTTCCTAAAACAGTGAATTTCTAACTAGTGGTATTATGAGCTTTTAAGTCAGAGATATACATACGTATGTATATTTAATTTTTTAATTTGTAATTTGATTTCTTTTAAACGCCAGTTACTTCTATAAACATAGGTATACAATCTGCGTTACAGAATAAACATAAAATAAATATTTTGTTTTTAATAATGCCCTTGGACTGCCGGCTCAGATATTCTTCAGCGTTTTAAATAACTTCTTGGCTCATAAAAACCTGCGAATGCATATTTTTGTGATGGTATATGTTATACGGTTTCAAAGTAAGTAAATATAGGTTAATTTTTTCAAAACATGAAACTTCCAATGGTTCGTCGAACAACTTACATTTAAAAATGGAATAAATGTATATAAATATCTCTATTTGAAAATTTAGGTTATAATTGCAGTGCTAGGGATTCCTAAATTAACCTATTAACACAAAAATAATACAAAAAATGTAAAAATTATAAATTACCTTTATATTTTAGGATATAGCACCAAGATTCATCATCCGATCTCGCCATTTTCGCCTTAAGTACAGACCATCTTTTAACACTGCGACGATCACCATCATAATCCTGATCGTCGTAATCATAATTATCATAATCTGAGTTACCAGCTGAAGGTAGTCTTGTTGTTGTTACACTATTTGGACGTGTTGTTGTTGTTCTTATAGTCGTTAATATAGTTGTAGCAGATGTTGTTGTTTGCATTGGTGGTCGTGTTGTTGTATTTCTTGTTGACTGTTGATTAGATGATGGCTTACTATCATATTCTTCACTATAATCATCATAGTTGTCCTCAGAGTCTACATTTTGACTTGGTCGAGCTGTAGTGTTAGCAATGGAAGGGGCCACAGTTGTGTTCGTTTCTAGAATTTCAGGTAGCGTTACTGGTCTTATGGTAGTGGAATTTTCCTGTATTATTACTTCACATATGTGCAGCTCCTGTAAATCCTCATCGTCGGCGCAATTATCACAAACATGACATTGTAGAGCTGTCAAAAATACAGATTTTATTGAAATATGGTTGTATTTAATTATATATAATATCCATAATCTGCATAAAATACAAAAGTGAAGTCTTATTGTTTGCAGGTGACTAGCGTATAAACCCTGCATTATTAGAAAATAAAATAAGTAACATTTAAATGTCTTAAGCTTTTTATTAGAAATGTCATACGTCAAAATAGATTTAACTTAAAGGCAGAACATTTAATTAATGTTATATTAAACGATAAACGTAAGTCAATCTATGTCACATGAAACTCTAATATAGTTTTGGTATTCTTTAATTACGAGCAAATTGTTTCGACATTGCTTTAGAATGCTACACAGTATCACTTTAATAATGTAATTCATTTATTTTTGTATGTCATAACAATTAATAAGACATTGTTTTAGACACCACATGTATTCGAAAGAGTGACAAAAAAAAAAAACAAATAAGAATTTAGAGAAAGAGAATTTAGAAGATCAAATAATTTAGAATCAAATAATTTAATCACTATATACATTTGCAGTACCTTTTCTATCTTTTACAAGAAAAAAAGAGAAACTAGGTTCATGTTTGCGTCTTAGAGTTCCCCGTAAAGTCGGATCTTGACTTTATATCTGAATATGATCGGGAATAGTATAAGCTGAAAGTTGCTTACTTAATTTATTGAGAGATGAGCAACATAGTGATGATATTATTTATTCTAACTTTCAGAAAAATAATTTCATTGATTTAACCAGATTTTAACTACATCTCAGGTCAAAATATTCTTCTTCTTACGCATCATGTTGGTTCAACCATATATGTCCTTAACTACTGACCTGACCACAAAATGATCAAGTCAATTTAACTAGTATGTAATTAGAGTATATTTTTTTTAGGGCAGTGATTTAATGACAGCGTGACTGTAATCGTTTGACATAGACATCGCTAACTTTAAGGATAATTTCAAGCTTATTGATATAATTTTTTTAACGTATATACTATCCCAGTTTGTATAAAATTAGACTTACTCGTTGCTATATAAATATATAGAGTTTTAAAGTTGCTTAGCGAGGCTTAGAGTGTTATATCTGTTACTAAAGATTGTGACTATATCACCCCAGCAACGATCTGTGTTGCAGGTAACGATTGACTGATTGCTGAGTAGCTTTGACCGTTTCGATTGCACCAGTTATTGGAGTTGTGTTCTATAGAATAAATGGTTGTGGTCTGATATGTAAATCGAATAATCTTAGGACAATTCAAAATAACATTATTGTCTTTGACAGTGTAATTGTTCTATTTTTCTTATAAAGTATTTTAATTTTTTTAAAATAAGCCATAAAATAAATTGTAGATTTTAGAGAAGTGTTTACTGACTGACTACTGGGTTCGATGTGCTTATATATTCAGATATTGTAAAAAACTATGTACATAATGAAATAATGCATAAAAATGATCATAATAAACATAAATTTAAAACAATAACAAAAAATTGATTAAAACTATATTGTTGTTGTTGTTGTGAAACGTTAGTCATTTTCATCGATTGACTGCATTATTTGTCGTTATCTTCATGTACAAAAGATATTTTATCTACGAAAAGAAATCAAAAATATTGATATCACATTTGACCATCATACGATGTGCTGATTTTCGTGGCATGTAAGATATTTTGTTGCTCTTTCAAAATAGTTAAGAACGCATGACGACAGTTGAAAATAAATATTTTTAAAAATATTTAAAATTTTAATAAAAACATTATAGTTAAACACATTTTAATATTTTTCTATATACTGAATAATGAAATGAAAATTATTTTTATACAATAAGTGCATAATAACTATAAATGTATGTCTTAACGTAATGACAGATTTTTAATTAAATATAAATAAAAGATACTCAAACCTTAACCCAGACAGAAAGCAAAAGTTTGGTGACAATAAACAAAAACAAATGAAAAACTTTACAAAAAAAAATATAGGAGATATGTTGGGATGTCCCATAAAGGCATTAACCTTATTGCGATTCTAAATGATTCTTGCTGCAGCTTTGATGATGACCTAGAAGGTGCTTCACATCTGTTTTGCCACTGTTCAGTGCATGTTTAAGAAAGATTAAGCATGCTAGGGGCATTCATTTTAGAGAATCTAACTGGGCTAAAGAGCCCCTTTTTAACAAGCATATTATGCTTAGTCACAAGTTCTTTTAGTTCTTGTACGGTAACAACTTGAACCAACAGATCCATTAGACTTTTATAATCTAAACTAAAAACACTTTAAAAATTATTTCCTTGATTTAAGCAGTTTTCAACTGAACTTCAGCTCAATATATACGTGGTATAGTGCATATATTCTTTAACACATGAACTAAAATTTTTCTAACAAAATGATCAAGACAATTTAACTATTATGTGGTTAGAGCATATTTTTCTGAATGTGCTTATCCAATGTAATTGTCAGAAATTTAGTCTAGAGTCTCCATACGGTTTAAATTGAATTGAGTAAGATCTGGGATTTAGGAGATGATCGTGTGTTTTAAATCTTAAATTTTGTGGATAAGCTTTGGAGATTATAATAAGGAATTTTATAATATATCTGGTAGGTCATAGTAAAATATTGTAACTTTTAATATATATAAAAAATTCTAAGTTGCTACTTTATAACTTGTTAGTTTATAGACTCATTATGAAAATATTTTAATAAGTATTTTGTATTTTAAAGTTATTGTACTTTGTATATTACAACACACATATACTATATTATCTTTGTAGTTTTATGCGCATAGGGTATGAAAAATAATTGACAAGACTAAAATTATACTTTATACCTTACAATTATATCTTCCAAACTATTAAAACAAATACACAATAAACGTAAGCAATAACAATAAAAAAAAATGATTGAAAAATAATAATAAATAAATAAAAAATATTTATTATATAGATAAATATCGATTGTTGTATGAGTTACCAATATATTTTATGGCATTTTTTATTTATCTTTATAAGTTCCACCTACGCGTTTTTTCCCAAACTGGTGATTCTTATCAGACATGTACTATCTACTAATATTTATCTTTCATTGAACTTGTTGCGTGAATGTTTATCAATCTAATATTTTGCTGCTCGGTACATAGCCGTGTTGGACTCATATTACTCATACAACCTGTCTCTCCCGACTGCTCGAGCTCATGGAAGTTGAATTTTGCCTATAGCAGTTAATGTAATTTATCACTAAAATGCGATATCGATTTTTAATTTATTCACTTTTCAGATATTCAGTAATGTAAGTACTTAAAAACAAATACCTAGATCCAGAGGATATAAGTAACTACTTAAAAGCTCAGCTTGTAATACACTACCATTTAGTTGATAAATTTTATTGTGAGGTTAAGATACAATAAAATTCACATGAGGATTTATGAAAACTCACAATCGAATTTAACAATGTCTTTTATTTTAAATATAAATAAATTAATTTTAATTTTTTATTTTTTATTTGCTATTTTAATTATTATTTGTAAGACACATGTCAGAAATTAATTTAAATTAGTTAAGGAATTAATATATAAATATAAATTCTATCTGTAGATATTGTTTAAGTACACGAGTTTTTTTGTATTTATATATTTCAATAGGATTTCACTAATCACTAAACATTTAGTAGTATACCGGGTTTATATATAACCTTCAGTATATATGCTTACTCCAATTCGATTGTTGTGGGTACCTATACATAAAGTTATTACTCTGGAAAACATTGAAATAATGAAATTTCTTTTGACTTTCATGAAATGTCGAGAAAGTTCACAACATGGAAATATACTGGGTCTACAATATGCAGATTATAGTATCCTTTTGTATGAAGTTTTTTTTTTATATAGGAAACCTGCTAGCAAAGTGAATACCAGGTTTACTCAACAATACCAGTAACGTTTTAGCTAGTAACTTGGTTTAAACATCAAACAATAACGGTAATCCAAACAGTTCATCTGAGTCAGTAATAAAAGAACTGAGAGGTTTCCTAGTTTAAAAAAGACTTTATGGAAAATAATCACTGGCTTCGTTATCACTGGACACATTATTGTTAAATTATGTATTTTAAAAATAGTATCGAAGAATGTCAATATCTGTAGGTAATGTTAAACATACGCTTATTTTATTTTGTACTGATCATGGATTTTCAAAACATGTATTAAGTACCTTCTGTAGGTACTGTCGATACCTGCGGATTTTATGAAAGATAACGTTAAACATCCGTTTATATTATTTTCCTCTGTTCTGGGATTTTCAGGATATGTAACAAGTATCCCCATTTGTATTCCTTTGAACCAAATGAAGTTTGAAATATTAACCCCCATGATTGTCTTTTAATTTATTATTAGCAAAAGGTGTTGTTAAACAACCGTCCGTTTGGTTTTCTTCTGTACTGAGATTTTCAGAATATATTTTTTTAGTACCTCCATTTGCTATCATGTAAATGAACCGTATGAAAATTAAAGACTTGAATTTCTTCAGTGTCGTAAACGATCTCGAGTTGACGAACTACTAATATATATTTTAATAAAAACAATGATAATAATAATGAGGTCTTGAATAGAAATCCAATAAGTTGAGTTAATAATAACAAGGTATTAAATAGAAATCCAATTAAAGACTAGAATTTCTTCAGTTGTCGTCAACGATCTCGAGTTCAAGAACTACTAATATATATTTTAATAAAAACAATGATAATAATAATGAGGTGTTGAATAGAAACCCAATAAGTTGAGTTAATAATAACAAGGTATTAAATACAAATCCAATAGGTTGGGATAACTGCGTTCAAAATGCAGCGCTCCTTTTTATTTTTTATGAGATAATTAAAATATTATCTATTATAATCAATTTATTTCTGAGATGGTTTAAGATATCTTAGTTTTTTTTTTATACAAGTTTTGCTAATGTCTATATTAAATTAAATTTTTGCAAAATTTTGTGGTAATCAAGACTTAAGCAAATTTTCATAATTACTTAATACCAATCTTTACCTTGAGAAACTTCCAACTGAACTACAGTTATCAATGTCGTAAGGAGAATATATTTTAATAATTTCATGTTAAGAATATTTTAATAATTTTTATTTTATAAAAACTTTAAAAAACTTTGTTTTTCAATAAAATTGTTTTTTAATTTAAAACTTTTATGACTAATTGCAAATACTTATTGCACAGACACTTGAAATCAAACTAAAGATCCGTGAAATTTTCATATAATATCGCACTACAATTCTCTAAAAAATTTTAATGATAAATGCTAATTTTTTTTTCATTTGAGAAAAAAAACCAAATTTTTTTGGAAATACTTTTTCACTGAAACTCAGAAAAAAATATAAATTCAGTGAAAAAAAATAACTACTTTGCATTGCAAAATTCTGACATCGAAGTGATAATATTAATTAAAAAACATTGAAAAAATAGAAAAGTGCTGATGATACCCAAAATTTAAAATTAAACAATGCTATCAACGTATCTTTCATTTCTATTGAAATTTTAGATAAATATTCTTTTTTAATGTTTCAATATTTGTCATTTTTTTAAATAGTTGAGTTCAGCAACAGACTCAACAACAGATAAAGATTTCCTTGTCTGTTAGAAATATATACAAAAAGTGAAAATTTCTGGAACTAAATAAATTTAGGCTGTCAATACCTTTAGTATACTGAAAGAGAAAGTTAAGATTATATATCATATATTTTATTACATTTATGTTAAAGATTTTTATTTAGCACATTTCTAATGAAACATAAAAATCAATTAAAATACTAAATAGTAGAAAAATACGATGGCTGTTTAAAAAGTTTGAACACAGCCACCGTTTTACATATTTGCGCTGCTAAAGATACCAAGCTATTTTGATAAAATCCGAAGTGCCATATATGATCCCCATAATAATAGATGGTCTTGTAGCACACATTCTGCTAATATAGATCCTTCTAATACCGACCAGAGCACAGTAATCAGAATTAATGTGGATAGTTTTGTCTGTTTCCAAGGAGATCATACAAACTCTTTACTAAGTATGTTAAGATGGTGATGTAGATTAGCGTAACCTTTTAGATAAACTGCTAATAAACTGCTTTTCAAATCTGTTCCTCTAAAGAATGATTCTATATCTTAATCTGTCAAAAAACTGCAAAACTATATAAAATATATTGGCACATACACAAAGAAAAATATTAGGTTAGTTTTGCATAAAAAAAATTCACTATCTTAAACTATTCGAATGTTACTATACATTATTTTTTATACGTTATTTTTTATTTAAAACACAAGTAGTTTGACAAAAGAAAATTTTAAATGTCATGTGCATAAAAGTGTTAAGAAGAAAACGATATCAAGCCACTTAAAATTTGACTAACTGACTAACGGAAATCGAAACGGATCGGTTTTGAAACATAAGAAAAAACAAAAACAAAATTTTAAGCTAAGGTCATAACGAATTTATATACTACACAGTTGCCCTTACAAATGTCCCAAGCAAAAATTTGTTAGTGCATTCAATGCAAGTATTTATTTATGTCATCGCTTCATATTTTGTTATTGTTTGTATGTAGTTATGGTTAATTCTTATCCCATTACCATTGATAGGCTTACGAAAAGGAGAAAAAAGAAAACAAAAGGTATGACAGACAGTCGTTGCGCATCGCGTTCAAAAGAATGTACGAAAGCCGGAGTTTTAATTGATGTCAACTGAAGGCAGTGTAACGGTTATTTATTTAATAAATTTAAGTAATATTTACTAAAATATTAATTGAAAGATTTATTGAAAAATACCTTTGTGTGAAATGTAATTAAAATTGGGATTCACATTAATGATTATTTGTTAATCAAAGTTTTTTACTTTTCTCAAGAGAAACTTTTTCAAAGTGATACAACTAGATTGACGCCATATTGAAATTTAGAAAAATTTTTAATTTTTGTTCAAATAAATGTTTTTAATCGTGTTGCTATCGTTGGTTTCTTAAATATGTTTAAATAATATATGTATAAATTACATTGATTTCTTTAAATCCATGAAATTATATATAGATTAAATCATATTAATTAATATTAATAGATATGATATTATTAATAGTTAATATTAATTAAAAATTTAAATAATAATTGAAGTGGTATGATATTTATTTTTTATAATAGTGAGTGTACAAGTAATATATAACACATGTGCCTTCAACTACTCTCTTCACTTATTTCAAACTACGCAGATTTGGCAGCGGCATCATCGTATGTTTTCTTTTTGTTCTATATAGCAAGTAAGGTACATAAGGTAAGTCATTTCATCTAACGTATATTCATTTCATTAAATTTTTAATTAAAACAAATATTGCTTTTATTAAAATCTGCACATTTGGTAATTATTTATACTCGTATTTCCCTACTACACATCATTGTATAAAAATCGTGCACTTTGCTGATCATATTATACAAGTTCCTTTAGAGAAGAGCTTTGAAATTTATATTATAAAGTGAATGGCAAGTGTTAAATGTTATTTTTTCAATAACTTAAAGCTTTCCAAATTTTCTAATATTTTACTGCAAAGCCTAAACAACTTAACAAAAAGCTCTTTTTAAACAGATTTCAGAAGCTCTAAACAAGACCCAAAAAAGCTTAAAATTTATCTTCGAGCAAAGATAATTGATAATCATTAATAATAATAATGATTAATAATAATAATAATTAATAATAATCACAATTAATAATAATTATAATTAGTAATAATAATAATTAATAATAATAATAATTAATAATGACAATTATTAGTAATAATAATAATTAATACAAATAACAATTAATAATAATAATAATTGATAATAATAATAATTAATAATAATAATAATTAATAAAAATAATAATAATTAATAATAATAATAAATATTAATAATAATAATTATTAGTAATAATAATAATAATTAATAATAAAAATAATTAATTATTATTAACAATTAATAATAATAATAATTAATAATAATAATAAATAGTTTGATATCAGAAGGCGTGCTGTATATAGAATGCCCTACCTATGTATATACGAAATCACACTATGGCATAATGCACTTTTGTGTAATTCATTGCTATTTAAACTTAAAAGTAAATTTAATAAAAAATTTATACATACGAAAACAAGTCATATATCTAAAAACATTATAGTTACAGATATAATACAGTTAAGTTTTTAGATTAAGATTTGAGTACAAACTGTTATTTTATTAATAAAGAATTCAATTAATTTCAATTAATTAATGAAGAATTTCAAATGATGGGGGATGGAGGATCCAACGAGAACAAACCTTACTCACGGCTAAACAAAATATTTAAAATTAAAACACAAAATAACAATATTTAATAATAATTATTTAGTGCTGCTAACGTTTCGGATTTTTTTAATTTTTACCCAGGCCGGGTTGGTTCAAAAATTTTAGTGTGTAATTAATTTTAATAGTTTAAACTATTTCTTAAAAGTATTGTTAATTATTTTTATGATACAAAAGCAAATTCTTAAAACCATCGTCTAGAAAAATATTTTATAATTTTTCTTCCAGAATATACAGATATATAGATTCCGAGATATATGTCTAAAATTTTTATTTTAAAAAAGAACCTCATAAATAAGAGATTTTAGCCAAATTAGAGGTAGTGAAGTCAAAATTTGTTCCGCTTTTAAAATTATGATCAATACTAATTTTTTCCGATATATACTCGTATAGATTTTTATTTTAAAAAAAGAAATTTCAACCAAATGGAAGGTAGTGAGGTAGGAAGGAAGACAATCTTAAAAAACTTTTTTAAAAATATTTAAGCAGCTTATCATGCTAACGGGTCTGTCAAAGAATCTAAGATTTGGGTGTATGATTTGTTTTTTTTTTTGTTTTAAGATTTCTATAGAAGTACAAAATTAAAAACAAATTACAGTTCACATCACGTACATTTATTTTTATATTATTTTGATGGTATAATATATTAAGTTTTGTTACAATATTTCAACTTTGTTTAAAACAATACTGTTTTTTTTTTATAAAACTCAACATATCTGTTAAATCGCAGTTAGCTTAACTGGTTATACATTTTTTTTTTTGAAATTATTTAACATAATTTTAGTCAAATATTTATAACTTAAATAAAGTATACTTTGTATATTATTTTTATATGTTTTTTCATTGCTTTCCAAATATATATAATTGCTTAAAAAATTCAATTGATTTCGTAAATTTATTGTAGTTTTTTTTATGGACTTTGTTTACACACACATATAATTATATATAAATAGTATATTGTGAATTTGAGTTATGTATATAATTAACACTATTCACTTACAGATATACATATAATATTTTATTTGCATTTTAGTAAATTAATAATTAGTAATTTGATTTTGCTGTAGTGAATTGTTATAAGCGCAGCGTTGTTTCGATTCTTATGAAATTTATATGAAATACAGACGATGGTAATGTGTAATATGATACTATTAAAACAAATTAAGGGGGGAATTTAAAAAAATGTGTAGTTTGAAATATCTTAATATATACATACTTTACGTAAATATTTGGTTCGGTAGAAATAGTTGGATAGATAGCTGTAAACGGAGCTTAGACAATAACACGTCTCCTAGAAATTTCAGCTTCAGTTTTTGGAAATTGCATCAAAATTAACTGATAAGATAGCTAAGTGGGTAAAGTGAAAGTAAGTCTATCTTCCTCTATTACCTAAATAGTATTTATTTAGTATTCTACAGCCGTTCGGGCGCATCAATGAATTAGAGTAGTTTGATTATTTCAAATTTGGAAATGTTTCATATTATAGAGAATTGTCTACCCAACTTATAAAATGACATTAATTAATTTTTCAATTAAGTTTTTAGTAAGCATATAGACACATTTCTTCTTGTACTTACTTATATAACAATAACAAAAAATATAAATGTGTCGAAATAACTAACAGTCTTATGTTTCATAGTTCACCAAATATTTCTGGATCTTTATCGAATTATTAATGCTCTTATGATCATGTGATCATATGTCTTCCTACTCAAATAGTTGAAATATGTTTAAACACAATTCGATTAAAAATTAATTTAGTTATTTGAAAAATTAAATT